ACCTGCCCTTGCGCCGGCCCTCACCTCTCCCGGAGCCCCAGGGGCAGGCGCCCCTGCTCTGGCCGGGACGGCGGGGCCCGGAGGTCCAGGCGGCGCGGGCGGCTCCCGCTGGTTGCGCAGGGCGATCTGCCTCTGTAGCCGCAGCACCTCCCGCTGGGACTCGCGTAGCAGCCGGTCGAAGTCCCGCACGTGGAGCCACTGGGGGCCCTCCTGGAGTCGGGGGACAAGGAGGAGAGTTGGGCCTAACTCCTGCCCGCCCCACACCATCCCCAACAGAGGCCGCCCTCAGCCTGGCTGGAGGGGCTCCGGTGCGCAGGAACGTGCACATCCTCCCATGCAGACATGCCTGGTCATAGGTGCATGCGTACATAGCCACATGCTTCAGCTAGCCTGTGTGCAAACATTCCAAGGAACTCGTTTACTGGGCACTCACAGTGTGCCCGGCACTGTGCTAAATACCTTGTGAACATCTCTTCACACCAGTGTGTGGTATGTGTGGATTCACACAACCAGATCTATTGGCATGCAGCCTGAAGCCTGGAGCACAGAAATTCCCAGGTCTGGGACTCATGGCTCCACCCCCATCGGTTCAGCCTCCTTCCCCCACCCCACCTGGGCCGTTGCCAGGGGAACCTACTCCCGAGCAGCCTCCACCTTCTCTCTTCATTTGCATCTCATTAACATCTCGTCCACATCCCACACTGCCAAGCAGAAGGCCCTGTGTCGGGCTGAGCTGAAAGGGGTGACCAGGGCCTCCTCGCACCTTGCCAACCAGAGTGAGCCTGGCCTGCAGCTCCCTGCACTCCCGCTGCAAGGCAGCAATCTGCTTGTCCTTGGCCAGCAGGGCACTGGCTGTCTCACTGAGGTCCCGGGCTCGTTGGCGGGCCAGGGCCTTCCGGCACAACTCCAAGCTGGCCCCTGGACTGGGCATAGGAGCACTCACCTGGCCAGGGGAGGGGTAAGGTGAACTGTCACCTGAGGGATAGGACACTTCTCCCACTCCTCAGCTCCTCCCAAAGGAGGGGTAAGGATGAAAACCTAGAAGTATGGCCTCCTGCTTCTATACTGGGTCAACCCTCAGGGGACTAGCAGCCTCACCTTTACTCTATCCCAGCAATCTTCAAGCAGGAGTGAAAGGGTTAACAGCACATCCTAGTTTAGACCCAAAGGATGCTGCTAATTGAAGGCTGCCACTGTGATGGGTTGTCATCCCTGCCCCTGCCAGCTCTGCACCCAGAGAGGAGCTCAGGGGGAGGCTGCAGCCAACACCAGCACGTGGTAATCCAGAATCCTGCTCCCTGCCTGCTCAGGAACTCCCTGCCCAGCCTTTCCCTCCCTCCTGAGCTCCAGAAACCTTCAGCCTCCTAGCCTGGCTGGCTTTTGCCCTTCCTACACTTCGGCCCCTGGGTTCCTGCTTTCCTAGGTTCTAAGCATTGTAAGTGTTAAGGGTCCTTGACTCCCAAGCCCCACCCTTGAGGCCCAGCCCTGGCTCCCCTCTTCCCAGTCGCCCAGCCTCCATCCAGAGGCCTTCCATCCTCACCACCCTCAGGTTAGTCTCCTGCAGCTTCCGGGCCCTTTCCTCCAGGCGCTTGGCAATGACCGCCAGCTCAGCGTTCTTCCGCTTCAGCCTCCGCACCTTCTCCTCCGTCTCGGGAAAGCTGCTCTTCCTCTGACAAGGGGTCAGCCAGAATTGGGGCATGTGGGGAGCACTCCTACCCCAGACCCAGTCCTAACAACCCAGGCCAGGGCTAGAGCCCTGGGCTCACAGTGGGTTCCTCGGCAACCCCACAGTGAGGTGGGGGTTCACCCTCTCTGGGTCTTGAGGTCATGTCCGCTCCATGGAGCTCCCACTTGGAGGGGGATGTTCATGGGAGGAGGAGGGCGCTGAGGCAGAGGGCCAGGGTGTCTGAGTCTGCCTCCCCCCAGCTCCAACCAGGACCCAGGACTCGCTTTCCAAGTCTCACCAGCATCTGGTTCTCCTCCTTGAGAATGGCACAGCGCTGCTGCAGCTCCCCCAAAGCCCTCAGCAGCTCCAGATTGGGCCTGTCCCCAAAGCCCATTTTCAGCTTGCCCTGGTGTGGGAAAAGACACCACCCAGCTCAGGGCGCAGCTCCTCAAGGACCCAGCCTACCTCTGGAAGTCAGAGCCCTCCATATGGAAGCCTTTCCCCCTCCACAATACAAGGAGACATGAGGTTCTCCCCCATGTCCCAGGCCTTCGGAGGGGAGCACAAGAGAACCGGGAGAAGGGGCTGTTTAGTCCTCTCTGCCGACACTAGCATCCCCCAACCCTGAGACCCTCTGTGCTAGTCCCCAGTTCTTCTCCTCCCTGCCTATCTTGCCCTCTTGGGAAATGCCAGCCCGAGCTCCCTTTCCCACTCCTCCAGGCTCCTTATGGCCCCCAAGTTCCCTAGAGTCCTGCTCCCTCCGTCTTCTGCAGGAGACTGCTCACACCCACCCCAAACCTTGTCCTCTCTGGCTCAGCCCAGCACGGAGCCCCCTCCCCTGAATCTGCTTCCTCTGGACTCTGATTCCACCATACACCTCCACACACCCCTGGTACCCTCTCGCCCCCAAGGACAGAGATTTGCGGAGAAGACAAACAGACACAGACAGACTGTCAGAGAGAGACTCACAGAGGAAGAGGGAAGGGGGAGGACCAGAGGTAGGCAGACAGGCAGAGAGAGTCAGGACAGACAGATGGCAAAAAATGGAGCCACTGAGATTCCTGCCCCAAGAATGGAGGACAGACAGTCACAGAGACGGAGCCGCAGACGGAGACAGGCCAGGAGAAGAGAGGTGGGTAGTGAAGCTGCCTGTCGTGCCCAGGCTGGAGAGCCCCCGCCTCAGAAACCCCAGCCACCCACAGCTCCCTTACCTGAGGGAAAGCCTCCAGCTCCTCGTCCTCTAGCTTCTGGCAGCTGGGTCTGGAGCTCAGCACTCCCAGCCCCAGGCTGGGCAGCCCAGTTTCTGCTCTTTCAGGCTCAATGCCCCCCACAGGCCTGGATCTTTGGGCTCCCTCCGGCTCGGAGCTCTCCTCAGGCCTCAGTTCTCCAACATGCAGAGCTACCGGGGTGTCAGCAATGCTGGGGGATGCGCCTCCAGGTTCGCCCCCCTTATGTGGAGTCCAGCTCTGCCAAGTGGCCAGTGCCCAGGGCTCCATGTTTCCAGGGTCCCCCGGCCGTGGGAGGGGTGTCAGTTGCTCCATGGTTCTGCCAAGGGGCCCCAGGACCCGGACAGGGGGACATCACCCAGCCAGGTAGAGGGGCTGGCAAGGGTCATACCAGGCCAGACCCTTTCCTCTCTGAGCTCTTGGCTTCACCAAAGCTCCATCCAAGGTTGGCCGAGTTCTTCTTCACCCACAAAGGAGGCTGCAGGAATCGGGGCTGCCGGAGCTGGAGCTGGGGAGATGCAAGCTGTTTGCTCGTGGCTGTGTGTGCGCGTGAGTGTGTGGAAGAGCGAGGGTGTCCCCGTGGGGGTGGGGAGGATACGCAGAGGCCACTGACAGCAGCGCCTGGGTGCGGGTGTGCGTGTGTCTCCAGGTCTGTCTGTGCCGGTCAGTGCTTCCGTGCATGTGTCTAGAGGATGGGTACCCCCCACTTGTGTGCTGGTGGGTGGTGGTTCTGGGTGTCACCGTCTGCCTGTTTCAGAGTTACCAGTTGTCTCCGTGTGTGTGTTGGGGTGGGTGTCTGTGTTGCAGGGCTGTGGCAGTGTGCGATGCTGTCACTGGTTATGTCTGAGTGTCTCAGTGCTGTGCTGCTGTGTGCATTGCTGTTATTGTGTGTCCATCAGCGTCTGCAAGTCTGGCCATCCATCAGGACCCCTCAGCCTGGCTAGGGTCCACAGGAGCTGCTAAGGGTGATCCTCAAAGGTCTGCTGTGGTCCTTTATTCCTTGCTCCTCTCTCCACTGCTGCTCGCCAGCTTGCTGGGTGGCTGGGTTGGTCCTAAGGAGGCCTGGGTCGGTGGGCTGCTTGCCTCATAGTCTCTGTCCCCACTGGCCTCAGCTCTAGGGACTGCAGGGGTCCCCTCCAGTCCCGGAGCCCAGAGAGGGTGGGCACGGAGGAGGGCTGAGCCTCAGAATAGGGGGGTGAGCGGGGGAGAGCCAACCCTCCCGTCCTCCTCCCCCTCCCCTCCTGCCCACCAATAGGAAGTCGGCTGCTGGTTTCCATGGTGATGGCGCTGGACTGGTGGGCTGGACCAGCAGGCAGGGTCGGGACAGAGGGAAGAGCAGGTTTTTTACGGAATCTCGGCCCAGTGCCCCCAACATGTGACCTTCCACACCCCACCATGTTCCGGGGTACAGAGGCGGGGGGAGGGGCAGCAATCCTCCCCACATTGGTCCCAGCCCAAGCCTGGTAGAGGCATAAACAGGGACTGGTATGACAGATAAAGACCCCGCTATGGAGAATGGCAGGGATAGAAAAGATGGGATTTGAGATGAAACAAAGAGACAGAGAAATGAAGATAATGAAAACGAGAAGACAGAAGCAAGAGACAGAGGTGGAAATAAGCTGAGAGAATTGCTTCCGCTTCCTCCTGGCGGGCTGCGTTTTGGGGGCAACCTGGCTATCTCAGGCCAGCAGGGGAGGCCACGTGGCCTGTTGAGCTGGCTTAGTCCCAGACTGTCAGGACGCTCATCTTCTGTCTAGTCTTAG